GGGCTCCACCACACAACACTGGGCTCCACCACACAACACTGGGCTCCACCACACTACACTGGGCTCCACCACACAACACTGGGCTCCACCACACAACACTGGGCACCACACAACACTGGGCTCCACCACACAACACTGGGCTCCACCAACACCACACAACACTGGGCTCCACCACAACACTGGGCTCCACCACACAACACTGGGCTCCACCACACAACACTGGGCAGCACCATACAACACTGGGCTCCACCAAACAACACTGGGCTCCACACAACACTGGGCTCCACCACACAACAATGGGCTCCACCACACAACACTGGGCTCCAACACACAACACTGGGCTCCACCACACAACAATGGGCTCCACCACACAACAGTGGGCTCCACCACACAACAATGGGCTCCACGACACAACACTGGGCTCCACCACACAACAATGGGCTCCACCACACAACAATGGGCTCCACCACACAACACTGGGCTCCACCACACAACAAAGGGCTCCACCACACAACACCGGGCTCCACCTCACAACACTGGGCTCTACCACACAAGACTGGGCTCCACCTCACAACACTGGGCTCCACCACACAACACTGGGCTCCACCTCACAACACTGGGCTCCACCACACAACACTGGGCTCCACCACACAACATTGGCTCCACCACACAACACTGGGCTCCACCACACAACACTGGGCTCCACCACACAACACTGGGCTCCACCTCACAACACTGGGCTCTACCACACAACACTGGGCTTCACCACACAACAAAGGGCTCCACCACACAACACTGGGCTCCACCTCACAACACTGGGCTCTACCACACAAGACTGGGCTCCACCTCACAACACTGGGCTCCACCACACAACACTGGGCTCCACCTCACAACACTGGGCTCCACCACACAACACTGGGCTCCACCACACAACATTGGCTCCACCACACAACACTGGGCTCCACCACACAACACTGGGCTCCACCACACAACACTGGGCTCCACCTCACAACACTGGGCTCTACCACACAACACTGGGCTTCACTACACAACACTGGGCTCCACCACACAACACTGGGCTCCACCACACAACACTGGGGTCCACCACACAACACTGCGGTCCACCACACAACACTGGGCTTCACTACACAACACTGGGCTCCACCACACAACACTGGGCTCCACCACACAACACTGGGCTCCACCACACAACACTGGGCTCCACCACACAACACTGGGCTCCACCACACTACACTGGGCTCCACCACACTACACTGGGCTCCACCACACTACACTGGGGTCCAGCACACAACACTGGGCTCCACCACACAACACTGGGGTCCAGCACACTACACTGGGCTCCACCACACTACACTGGGCTCCACCACACAACACTGGGCTCCACCACACAACACTGGGCAGCACCATACAACACTGGGCTCCACCACACAACACTGGGCTCCACCACACAACACTGGGCAGCACCATACAACACTGGGCTCCACCAAACAACACTGGGCTCCACACAACACTGGGCTCCACCACACAACAATGGGCTCCACCACACAACACTGGGCTCCAACACACAACACTGGGCTCCACCACACAACAATGGGCTCCACCACACAACAGTGGGCTCCACCACACAACAATGGGCTCCACGACACAACACTGGGCTCCACCACACAACAATGGGCTCCACCACACAACAATGGGCTCCACCACACAACACTGGGCTCCACCACACAACAAAGGGCTCCACCACACAACACCGGGCTCCACCTCACAACACTGGGCTCTACCACACAAGACTGGGCTCCACCTCACAACACTGGGCTCCACCACACAACACTGGGCTCCACCTCACAACACTGGGCTCCACCACACAACACTGGGCTCCACCACACAACATTGGCTCCACCACACAACACTGGGCTCCACCACACAACACTGGGCTCCACCACACAACACTGGGCTCCACCTCACAACACTGGGCTCTACCACACAACACTGGGCTTCACCACACAACAAAGGGCTCCACCACACAACACTGGGCTCCACCTCACAACACTGGGCTCTACCACACAAGACTGGGCTCCACCTCACAACACTGGGCTCCACCACACAACACTGGGCTCCACCTCACAACACTGGGCTCCACCACACAACACTGGGCTCCACCACACAACATTGGCTCCACCACACAACACTGGGCTCCACCACACAACACTGGGCTCCACCACACAACACTGGGCTCCACCTCACAACACTGGGCTCTACCACACAACACTGGGCTTCACTACACAACACTGGGCTCCACCACACAACACTGGGCTCCACCACACAACACTGGGGTCCACCACACAACACTGCGGTCCACCACACAACACTGGGCTTCACTACACAACACTGGGCTCCACCACACAACACTGGGCTCCACTCACACAACACTGGGCTCCACCACACAACACTGGGCTCCACCACACAACACTGGGCTCCACCACACTACACTGGGCTCCACCACACTACACTGGGCTCCACCACACTACACTGGGGTCCAGCACACAACACTGGGCTCCACCACACAACACTGGGGTCCAGCACACTACACTGGGCTCCACCACACTACACTGGGCTCCACCACACAACACTGGGCTCCACCACACAACACTGGGCAGCACCATACAACACTGGGCTCCACCACACAACACTGGGCTCCACCACACAACACTGGGCAGCACCATACAACACTGGGCTCCACCAAACAACACTGGGCTCCACACAACACTGGGCTCCACCACACAACAATGGGCTCCACCACACAACACTGGCTCCAACACACAACACTGGGCTCCACCACACAACAATGGGCTCCACCACACAACAGTGGGCTCCACCACACAACAATGGGCTCCACGACACAACACTGGGCTCCACCACACAACAATGGGCTCCACCACACAACACTGGGCTCCACCACACAACACTGGGCTCCACCACACAACAAAGGGCTCCACCACACAACACCGGGCTCCACCATACAACACTGGGCTCCACCACACAACACTGGGCTCCACCACACAACACTGGGCTCCACCACACAACACTGGGCTCCACCACACAACACTGGGCTCCACCACACAACACTGGCTCCACCACACAACACTGGGCTCCACCACACAACACTGGGCTCCACCACACAACACTGGGCTCCACCACACAACACTGGGCTCCACCACACAACACTGGGCTCCACCACACTACACTGGGCTCCGCCACATTACACTGGGCTCCACCACACAACACTGGGCTCCACCATACAACAAAGGGCTCCACCACACAACACTGGGCTCCACCATACATCACTGGGCTCCACCACACAACACTGGGCTCCACCACACAATACTGGGCTCCACCACACAACACTGGGCTCCACCACACAACAATGGGCTCCACCACACAACACTGGGCTCCACCACACAACAATGGGCTCCACCACACAACACTGGGCTCCACCACACAACAAAGGGCTCCACCACACAACACTGGGCTCCACCATACAACACTGGGCTCCACCACACAACACTGGGCTCCAACACACAACACTGGGCTCCACCACACAACACTGGGCTCCACCACACAAACCTGGGCTCCACCACACACTTTGGGCTCCACCACACAACACTGGGCTCCACCATACAACAAAGGGCTCCACCACACAACACTGGGCTCCACCACACAACACTGGGCTCCACCACACAACACTGGGCTCCACCACAAATCACTGGGGTCCACCACACAACACTGGGCTCCACCACACAACACTGGGCTCCACCACACAACACTGGGCTCCACCACACAACACTGGGCTCCACCACACAACATTGGGCTCCACCACACAACACTGGGCTCCACCACACAACACTGGGCTCCACCACACAACACTGGGCTCCACCACACAACACTGGGCTCCACCACACAACACTGGGCTCCTCTATATTAACCAGTATAAACTCTTCATAATATCGTGGAGGATGACAGTGGTCCTGATAGACGAGCTGTCAAGATGTCCTGAATTCTTGCAGGTCGTCCCTGGAGTGGGTTGTCGTTAGGTCGTCCCTGGAGTGGGTTGTCGTTAGGTCGTCCCTGGAGTGGGTTGTCGTTAGGTCGTCCCTGGAGTGGGTTGTCGTTAGGTCGTCCCTGGAGTGGGTTGTCGTTAGGTCGTCCCTGGAGTGGGTTGTCGTTAGGTCGTCCCTGGAGTGGGTTGTCGTTAGGTCGTCCCTGGAGTGGGTTGTCGTTAGGTCGTCCCTGGAGTGGGTTGTCGTTAGGTCGTCCCTGGAGTGGGTTGTCGTTAGGTCGTCCCTGGAGTGGGTTGTCGTTAGGTCGTCCCTGGAGTGGGTTGTCGTTAGGTCGTCCCTGGAGTGGGTTGTCGTTAGGTCGTCCCTGGAGTGGGTTGTCGTTAGGTCGTCCCTGGAGTGGGTTGTCGTTAGGTCGTCCCTGGAGTGGGTTGTCGTTAGGTCGTCCCTGGAGTGGGTTGTCGTTAGGTCGTCCCTGGAGTGGGTTGTCGTTAGGTCGTCCCTGGAGTGGGTTGTCGTTAGGTCGTCCCTGGAGTGGGTTGTCGTTAGGTCGTCCCTGGAGTGGGTTGTCGTTAGGTCGTCCCTGGAGTAGGTTGTCGTTAGGTCGTCCCTGGAGTGGGTTGTCGTTAGGTCGTCCCTGGAGTGGGTTGTCGTTAGGTCGTCCCTGGAGTAGGTTGTCGTTAGGTCGTCCCTGGAGTAGGTTGTCGTTATGATGGGTCGTCGCTATTCCTTGGCTTGAGCTGTGAAGTCGTCCTTGTTCTTGACAGACAGTCAGGAAATCCTCAAGATAAGCTACACACCTGGTACTGTTGCAAGTGATTGCTACTGCAACATTAGCAACCGTTTGGTTTTATATACAAGACAAAGTTGAGATCGCATGTACAGCTGCCACACAGCTGTTTGGATGCTGCTACATATATATACCTTGGGGCTGCCATGGAGTCATCTGCCGTGTAGGCATCGCGGCGACAGTCATCCAGTGTGATAAGCATAACTGACGTGACATACCAGTCCTTCAAAATTTTCATCTAAATACACCAAAACTATTCATCACAGGGTTTTAACGTTTGTTGCAATCTTCTTTTTCAAAAGATTGTTAAGGAGCGAGGAGACCATCACTAGACACTACCACGGAGGCAGTCCGGACCTCAGTGTACGAGCAACGAGCGCGCCGGACGCTACAGCAGCGCCCTGCTCTTCACCGCGCGGTGTCGCGCTGGGAACTGAACACAACTACTGTGTGACGGGCCGCCAGAGCGCCCCCTCACTCACCGCCAGGCCCGAGTGCATATTTGTGCGCCTTAAACTCACACTTGCTGAGTGAATCTTCCGGAAATGTTCCCCGCATAACCAACTGAGATTCAGGAAATACCTCTTTGAAAATCGGGCTGTTAGTCTTTGGATTTGCTGGAACAAATCTTCGGGTGACATAATAAACGAATGATCACTTGATTGTTTCAAGCGTAGGTTAGACATATATGAATGAGTTTGGGTGGATATATAACCGAGCAATAGGCCTCATACACCATCCTTTATTCATACAATATTTATGACTCCCGTGAGGCACAACAAATACATTCATTTATAGAAGAGCATTACAAACACGTGTTGTAAAAATGTATTTTTGCAACACGTGTTTATTTTGTTTTAAGGTGCATATATTCACAAGCCATTTATAACATTGGGAAAATAATTGTCCTTAAAATTTGATAAATTATTACATAAAATTTCACCAGTATAATCTATACCAATAATTATGTTCACTTTAGCATGCTGCTCCTCGAGCGTTCTGTCACACCTTACTACAAGGAAGGTATGATAGGTTGATGGGTAGATGGTATGATAAGTAGATACGTGAATGGTAGCATGGGTGTGACGGACTTCGGCGCCATCTACGATCTGGGTGCCGAACTATGCAAGTTGACTCTCCCAGTAATCATAACTTCCCATCTTTTAGTCTGCCAGGCTGTAAGGTGACGAGGGACCCGCGGCAGGCTAGGGAAGGGAATGAAGTCGGGACAGTGGCAGACAGAGGTCGACCGGGATGGATTAGCCAAGTGGGCTGATTGAGCGCTGTGGACTTTACTCCAGGATGGACTAGCTAAGTGGGCTGGTTGAGCGCTGTGGACTTTACTCCAGGATGGACTAGCCAAGTGGGCTGGTTGAGCGCTGTGGACTTTACTCCAGGATGGACTAGCCAAGTGAGCTGGTTGAGCGCTGTGGACTTTACTCCAGGATGGACTAGCCAAGTGGGCTGGTTGAGCGCTGTGGACTTTACTCCTGGATGGACTAGCCAAGTGGGCTGGTTGAGCGCTGTGGACTTTACTCCAGGATGGACTAGCCAAGTGGGCTGGTTGAGCGCTGTGGACTTTACTCCAGGATGGACTAGCCAAGTGGGCTGGTTGAGTGCTGTGGACTTTACTCCAGGATGGACTAGCCAAGTGGGCTGGTTGAGCGCTGTGGACTTTACTCCAGGATGGACTAGCCAAGTGGGCTGGTTGAGCGCTGTGGACTTTACTCCAGGATGGACTAGCCAAGTGGGCTGGTTGAGTGCTGTGGACTTTACTCCTGGAGGTGCTAGCCAGTAGGGCTAGAAGAGCGCTGTGGTTGAGCGCTGTAGACTTCGGTTCTGGAAGGTACTAGCCAGTGGGGCTGGTCGAGTGTTGCTGGCTTTGTTGCCAGGGCGTACCAGGGAGTACGCAAAGAAGACCTCGGCAGAAGCACTTTGTGATTGTCAATCGTGAAGCAGGCTAGCGTAAGGGCTAGCAACGCCACTCCGTTTGATCTCTCATATCGTTGTATATATTATATATATGGATTCTTATGGTGATGGGAAATAATAACGGGATATTTTTACTGTCTTTCTTTTATTACTACCTTTAAACATTACACTATATTTCCACCAAGATTAGGGTCCTTTGAACTTGAGTGGGATCACAAGAACCCGGTTACGAAGGGTTCGTAACATTAATGGCATCCCCAGCGGGATCCTTACCTCTTGTTCATAGCGTTCATTGGTCTTGGTGGGCGTAGTGATTTGTTTAAGGTAGTTAGTAGGTAAATAAGTGCTATCCCAGTGGATAGATGTCCCGTTTTGCCGTATAAATTTTAAGTTCAGTGATTACGTTCGTTGTGTTTGTGTCGTACTACAGAAGGGAACAATGGCTGAGGCAGACCGTAGACACATTGGATGATGTTCAGTAGTTCCTGAACCAGGAGGACTGCCTCTCCAAACTAAAATATCTTGGGGAAACCCGAATTAGTGTTGATAAGTGCGTACATGGAAATTAAGGTGAGTGATCGGGATTCGCGGGTGGACATCCTTTCAAAAGTACATAAGCATTTGAAACCTGCCGATAACAAGGACAGTGTTGGACAAAGTAAAAAGGCAAGCATGGTTTCCTCTGAAAGACAAAAACAGTGATGGTGAGAGTGATACTAGTGAACTGAATATCAGTCTACTCACTGTGAAAATGCGTGCATTGGAGGTCAATCACGAGATAGTGAAAAAAATTAGAAATAGAACGAGAAATGACAGAAAAGGAAATTGAGAAGGAAATGGCTTTAAAAGAGAGAGAACTGGAAATGAAACTTTTGGAATTACAAGAAAAAGAGAAGGAAAGAAAAGGTGAAGGAAAGACAACACGAATTGGAAGTACTGAGATTAGGTGGTAGTAGAAAAGAGTAGTTTCGATCCGGTGTGGAACATAAAAATGGTTCCGAAATTTAATGAAAAAGAGGTATCGAAATTTTTTGCTGCTTTTTAAAAAGTCGCTGCAAACTTGGAATGGCCAAAAGATAACTGGGCTATAATGATTCAGTCGGTGTTAACCAGGAAAGCCCAAACAGCATACTCAACATTATCAGTGAGTGAGTAAAGTGATTACGATGTGGTAAAGAAGGTGGTTTTGCATGCTTACTAGCTAGTGCCAGAAGCATACAGGCAAAAATTTCGAAACCTGAAGAAAGGGGCAGAACACACGTATAAAGAATTTTCAAGATTAAAAAGAGAGATTATTCGTAGAGTGGTGTGAGTGTAGAAAAGTAGCCAGTAAAGAACAGCTAGAACAGCTTATCCTCATAGAGGAATTTAAAGATTGCCTACCTGAAGATTTAAAGACCTATCTCGAGGAACAGCAGGTGGAAACATTAGAGGTGGCAGCCACGTTGGCCGACGAGTATGCATTGTCACAAAGCCCCTGCACGGCATCCAGCGAAACCAGGTCAGTATGCTACATACAGGTATGGTGGAAGACATGGGTATAAAGGAGAGGGAACTTAAGAGGCCAGGCAGCCCCAGGCAGGTAAGTCCAAAGAGGAGTAATTGGAAAGATGTAGTATGTTGGACAAGTGGACGAACCGGTCACGTGGCGGCAGCTTGTAAACAGTCGGCTGGTTATCCCTCCTAAAAGGTTTTGATGGAAACTCTACTACAACCATCAGAAGAGGCCCATCTACCAAGGTCGGACAACAAGGGTCCAAAATGTAATATGTTCGCTCCTTACACGTCAACTGGAAGTGTAGTCGGAAGTCAGGGTAGCAACTCGGTGATTATTCTGAGGGACAGCGGTGGGGCTCGGTCCCTAATATAGAGGAGTGTTTTACCGAAGGAGGTACGGGTTGAGGGGCAGCCAAGTGTTATTCCAGGAGGCTTCCCAGACTCCTTGTATGTCGCCCCTTTGGTGGGCGTGCACCTTACCTCTCGGTATTTTACTGGCCCTTGTACTTATCTGTAGTAGAGCATATTCCAGTACAGGGAATCGAGGTCATACTGGCCAATGATTTGGTATCAAGGCTGGAGCAGACTAATCCCGTGGTTGTGGCAGAACCTGTAGCTGACGTGGGGACGCCGGTGGCGGTAGTTCAAACCAGAGCCCAGGCCAAAGAACATTTAGGGCTGGGAAAGTTATTTGACCCTATGAGAACCCCTGAGGCTATCGAAGACCCTAGTAAAACTTTTAATTTTTTTCCAGAGAATCCGGATTAGACCAGGGGGGCTTTAATAAGAGAGCAGGAGAAAGACCCACAAGTGAGAGCTCTGGCCGATCTGATTAACTCAGGTCGGAAGTCGGGAGCTAGATATTTCAAAGACAGCAAAGTGTTGTTCAGAAGGTGCCTACAGAGAACTCCTCACTCCTCAGCTGATGTAAATAACACAAAAATAGTGGTGCCCACCCCATTTAAGTCAAGACTGATTAAAGTGGCACATGATAACGGATACTCTGGACATGGTGGGATTTCAAAGACCTTCCATCGACTAGCTAGGAATTTTTACTGGCCCGAGATGAAGGTCGATATACGACACCACTGCAAAACGTGTCATGTTTGTCAGGTGGTTGGTACAGTAAACCAACCAATTCCTAAAGCCCCCTTAAACCCGATACCCTCCATAGGAGAACCTTTTGAACACCTAATTTTAGATATTGTTGGTCCTCTTCCTCCTCCTACTTCAGGTGTACAATATCTATTTACCATCATGGACAGAGTTAGTAGATACCCCGAAGCTGTTCCCTCTCCGAACAGTAACATCTAAGGTGCTAGTGAAACACCTGATCTGGTTCTTCTCGAGACAGGGTCTTCCTAAGACGGTTCAAACTGATCACGGACCAAATTTTATTTCCAAATGTTTTAACCAACAGATATCGAACATGAGAATTCATCACATCACATCCAGCGCTTATCACCCAGAGTCCCAGGGAGCATTCGAGAGGTTCCATCAGACATTGAAACAGATGATCAGGAAGTATTGTATCGGTAAGCAAGGACGTTGGGCGGAGGAACTGCCATGTCTACTCTTTGCTATAAGGTCGGTTCCAAATGAATCTCTTGGTCTGTCCCCTTTTGATCTTAAATATGGTCACCCAGTACGTGGACCCTTGGAGGTGGTCAGGGACCAGTGTGACGAAGTGGAGAGTAACATAGACATGGCTGATTGGATCTCGTCACACAAGGTACGACTGTTTGCCGCTTGGCAATTTGCTAAGGATAATTTGATACATAACCAAACCACCATGAAAGGCAATTATGATGTCACAACCAAACCCAGAGATTTCATGGTGGGAGATCAGGTGCTAGCCTATTCTTCAATTATGGGGGGGAAGTTTAGATGCAAAATTTAATGGCCTCTATCCTGTGATTAAGAAGGCAAATGCAACCAATTATGTGCTGGACACGCCTGATCGCAAGAAGAGATGCATGTGCATGTTAACATGATGAAAC